GCGGGAATAAGATCGAACATTACGGGAAAAAACACTAGAGCTCTAACGAATCGTCAAATTTCGAGAACAAAATGTTCAACCGAGCAAACGTCACCAAAAGTTCCGTCGAGATTTTTCTTGCCAACTAGCTCTGGGGCGCGCCGAAACAACTCTTAGCTTCCAGCTATAACTAGCTAAGGGAAGCTCTACGAGTTATTACTCTTAAGCTTCTAGCAACTAGCTTAGGGAAGCTCTACGAGTCATACAAGTTCGTTCCCCGGGAGTTTGGTGGGGTAGATCCGGAAGAGGCCCCCTAGGGCCACCTCCGGACCCTCCAGGGCGTTCGCTCCGGGTTTATGCCCCCCGAGGGGAAGAGACTTGTAAGCGTCCAAAACCCGGATAGGAAAGCCAAGCGCGGAACGCCGCACGGGGACCTCTGCCAGGCCGCCTGAAACGATGCGCGGGACGCTGGAAACCTCGCAGGAGACGCTGGCAGTGGCGCGGTTTACGATGCGTGGGGCCCTGCAAAGCGCGCAAGGAAGATCTGCCTTGGAGCCTGGAAGAACTGCCGAAGCTCTTCCGAAGCTCTGCCGAAGCGCTTCGCGCACCCTGGAGCCACGCGTATTGGGAAACGCCAGGAAGCCACGCTCCCGGACCCGCTGCGAACTCCGGCGAGTTGCTCCGGCGATCGTGAACCGGCGGATGTGGGCGTGTGCTCCTCACCACCCACCGCCGGCTTCTTATCTGAAACCCTCAGCTCTCTAAGGAGCTATCCGGGAAATTCCCGCGGATTCGGAAGCCTCTTCCCACCCCCTGTCCGGGGAAGGAAGTGCCGGAAACCCCTTTCCCCTCCCTGGAGCAGTTTAACGACCTGCTCAGGTCGAAGCCTTTTAACGTCCTGCTCAAGGCGAGAACGCGCGCGCCCGAGGTCTCGCCCCCCGGGCCGCGCAAGCGCCAACCCCGGGTCCGCCACGGGGCTGCGCGCGCCTGGAGTCTCGCCCCCCGGGCCGCTCACGCGTGCCGTTTTCGCGTGCGGGGGCGGCCTGACTCACGCGGTTTACCGTGTGTGGAGACGCTGGAAACCTCGCGTGAAGGAGCTACGGGGTCGCTGGGAACCTTCCCTGAAGGGCTCTCGACAGCTCCCCTGAAGCGCTCCTGAACCGCTGCCAGCGACGCGTGCACGCGTGCCTGCACGAGTGCAGGCACGCGTGGACGCGTGCCTGGAGCGCCCCCGGACACGCTGCGGACTCTGGCGAGTTGCCCCGGGGATCGTGGACCGGCGAGCGGGGCGTGTCCTCCTCACCACCCACAGCCGGCTTCTTATCTAAAACCTCTTGCCCTCAAGGAGCTATCCGGGAAAAACCGGAGAGCCAAGAGAACATACACCAGAAAACCTATCTGGCAAGCCCACGGAAGAACGCGTGAAGCCCTTCTGGGGCTCTGGGGAGCTCCCCGGCAGCGTTTCCGAGGCGCTGCCAGGAACGCTTCCAAGCGTGCCTGCACGCGTGCGGGCACGCGTGGAAGCTTGCCGGAAGCTCGCGCGGACCCGCTGCCGGGTCGAACGACCTGCTCCGGGGATTCTGGAGCGGCGGAGATGGGCTGCTGGCGGGCACCACCGCCGTCCGGCTTCTAATCTTAAACCCTTTAGCTCTCAGCGAGCTCTCCGGGACAAATACTACAGCTCAAACGAATCGTTGAATTTCGAAGACAAAATTTGTTAGCGTTCAAAACCCAGAGAGCGAAGACACCCTCGGAGACAAAAAATCTTTCCTTGATAGCTCTGGGGGCCCCGTGCAGCGCTGTTGAAGCGCTGCCAGGAACGCTTCCATGCGTGCCTGCACGCTTGCAGGCACGCTTGGAATCTCGCCAGAAGCTCCCCCGGACCAGTTGCCGGTTCACCGGAGCTGCTGCGGGGAACGTGGACCGCCGTGGAAGAGCTCCTGGCGGCCACCACCACCGTCCGGCTTCTAATCTTAAACCCTTTAGCTTTCAGCGAGCTCTCCGGGAATTTTCAACCGACCAAAAGTTGTGAAAAGTTGAGTTTTTTTGTTTCTTGTAAGCGTCCACTTGGTAGCGTCCGTAACCCGAAGAGCAAAGACACCCTCGGAGACCCGAAATCTTTCCTGAGCAGCTCTGAGCGACCCGCTGCAGCGCTGCTGAAGCGCTGCCAGGAACGCTTCCAAGCGTGCCTGTACGCGTGCAGGCACGCGTGGAAGCTTGCCGGAAGCTCTCCCGGACACGTCGCCGGTTCAAACGAACTGCTGCGAGAAACGTGGACCGCCGGAAAAGAGCCCCTGGCGGGCACCACCACCGTTCGGCTTCTAATCTTAAACCCTTTAGCTCTCAGCGAGCTCTCCGGGAAAACCCGGATAGCGAGGCAAGGCGCGCAGCGCAGAGCGCTCCAAAGCGCCGCACGGCGACCTCTGCCAGGCCGCCTGGAACGATGCGTGGGGCGCTGGAAACCTCGCAGGAGACGCCTGCGAGGGCGTCTTTTACGACGCGCGGGGCTCTGTGAAACCTACCACGACACCTCTGCCTAGGAGCCTGCGAGCACTGGCGAAGCTCTGCCGAAGCTCTGCCGAAGCGCTTCGCGCACCCTTGAGCCACGCGTATTGGGATACGCTAGGAAGCCACGCTCCCGGATTCGCTGCAACCTCCGGCAACTCGCTGCAAGGATCGTGGACCGGCAGAAGTGGGCGTGTCCCCCTCACCACCCACCTGCGGCTTCTTGTCTGAAACCCTTAGCTCTCCAAGGAGCTATCCGGGAACTAGCTCTCCAGCGCGCCGGAATTACTCTTAGCTTCCAGCAATAACTTGCTAAGGGAAGCTCTACGAGTTACGCCCCTGGGCGCTCCCGGCACGCTCCCAAGCGCTCCCAGGCGCTCCCGGCACGCTTCCACGCGCTCCCAAGCGCTCCCAGGCGCTCCCAGGCTCCCAGGCGCTCCCGGCGCGCTCCCGGGCGCTTCCAGGCGCTCCCGGCACGCTCTTGGCACGCTCTTGGCACGTTCTCAGCGCGCTCCCAGGCGCTCCCAGGCGCCTCCAAGCGCCTCAGGCGCTCCCGAGCGCTCCCAGGCGCTCCCGGCAGGCCCCCAGGCGCTCCCAGGCTGTCCCAAGTGTTGCCAGGCGCTTCCGGCGCGTTCCCAAGCGCTCCCAAGTGTTGCCAGGCGCTCGCGGAACGCTCCCAGGCGCCCCCAGGCGCTCCCAGGCGCTCCCAAGCGCGCCTGGGCGCTCCCGGCGCGCTCTCAGGCGCTCCCAAGCGCTCCCGGCGCGCCCCCACGCGCTCCCAAGCGCTCCCAAGTGTTCCCAGGCGCTCCCAGGCGCCCCCAGGCGCTCCCAGGCGCTCGGAAGCAGCGCTCCCAGGCGCTTCCAGGCGCTCCCAGGACAGCCGAAAGCCTAAATCGATGAGCGGACCTGTTTGCGGGACCGAAGGGCCCGCAGGACACCCCGCAGACCCTAATACGAAGAGAAACCCTAAACCCTAAGCCCTAAACCCTAAATCCTAAACCCTACCCTAAGCCTTATCCACCGAATCCACCCACTTATTTAGGCGGCAAGCGCCCTTTATTCCCGGATAGCTCCTTGGAGAGCTTAGGGTTTCAGAGAAGAAGCCGGCGGTGGGTGGTGAGGAGCACACGCCCACCTCCGCCGGTCCACGATCGTCGCAGCAGGTTGCCGGAGTTCGCAGCGTGTCCGGGAGCGTGGCTTCCTAGCGTTTCCCAATACGCGTGGCTCCAGGGTGCGCGAAGCGCTTCAGCAGAGCTTCGGAAGAGCTTCGGCAGTTCTTCCAGGCTCCTAGGCAGATCTTCCTTGCGCAGGGCCCCACGCATCGCAAACGGCGCCCCTGCAGGCGTCTCCTGCGAGGTTTCCAGCGTCCCGCGCATCGTGTCAGGCGGCCAGGCAAGGTCCCTGTGCGGCGTACCGCTCTCGGCTTCGCTATCCGGGTTTTGGACGCTTACAATCGCAGTCAGACTACCTCACGGCCGTGCGTGAATATCAAGCCAGCCCAAGCAGAGTCTCGGTTGCCGCCAGGCAAGGCCCGCGAGGGCCCTATCTCATTATCAATGATGCGGCTTACGCGCAAGCGATTATCCTGTGCCCAGGCGATCGTCAAAGAGACTTATAACCCCAAAACTACAAGCCTATTCACCGTGGCGTGCGCCTTGGCCCTGTGGGCGGCAACGTAAAATCGTTAAAAGACACGGATTGCGACTGGATTTTTTTTTGACCTCGAATCCTAGAGTTTTCCAAACTGAACCCCTTGGTCGGCTCGCTGGCAAAAGACGTTTCCTGAAGACTCGGGCCCTTCCAAGGTTTTCCCAGAGCGGCCGGCCCGGGCGCCGACTTGGGGTCGGCTCCAGCGCCGGCTCGGGTGCCAGAATCCGCCCGGAAGGGTTCCTAATCAATATTTTGGAAAGAAAAATGTGTCTTGGAGTAGCCTTTTTTCGGCACCACCTCGGAATTAAATTTTCCGGCGCCGGCCGGCACCGAAACTGGCCCGGGCGCCGGCCCGGGCTCCGACTTGGGCGTCCGGCTCGAGCGCCGGATCGGCTGCCGGCATCCGCCCGGAAGGGTTCCTGGGCGCCGGGAGCAGAAAATCAATATTTTTGAAAGAAAAATGTGTCTTGGAGTGGCCTTTTTTCGGCACCGCCTCGGAATTTAATTTTCTGGCGCCGGCCGGCGCCGGAACCGGCCCGGGCGCTGGCCCGGGCGCCGGCCCGGGCGTCTGGCTCGAGCGCCGGTCGGGTGCCGGAATCGGCTCGGAAGGGTTCCCGGGCGCCGGGAGCAGGAAATCAATATTTTCGAAAGGAAAATGTGTCTTCGAGTGGCCTTTCTTCCGCGCCGCCTCGGAATTCAATTTTACGGCGCCGGCCGGAGCCGGAATCGCTCCGAGCGCCGACCGGACCGCCGGCCCGGGCGTCCGGCTCGAACACCGCCCTGGGGTGCCGGAATAAGCATGGAAGGGTTCCTGGGAGCCTTAAATATTTAAACCTTAAATCTTACCTAAACCCTAGTTCTTTACAATGTCGCCGTGGGAGATGTCTGCGCCCTACCACGAGTTCCTCCTCGACGACATGAAGAAGCTCCTGCGTGCACGCCTTTACCTGGCACCGATGGAGTCCCTGCACTTATCTCACCTGTGCACCCAACTCGTCTCCGGACTTCTGACGGGCGCGAACCAGCAAAACAAGCGCGACGACCGCTGCTGGAAAAAGCACATCCTCAGCTGCAAGACAGGCGATGAGAAGAAGACCACGGTGGTGAATTTTTTCACGCGCCTGGAATTCCAGGATGGTTCCCGGAAGCAGGCCACTCAGATTTACCACGGGAGCGGTCGCCCACACCTCCACTGCTTGCTCTGGCTGGAAGACGTGGCGGACATCGAGCTGGACAAGTCTCTCAGCGCGACGCTCCCCGCAGACGAGACTCAGGCCGCATACGTTAAGGGCTCCCAGGACAGCCGGGACGGGGACAGCATGTGGGAGATTCATGACGGGCCTTCCACCTACGACGCCAACGCGTCGCGCCTGCACCTGCACCACACTCGGGACGACTCCGAGGCCGGCCGCCGCGCATACTTCCCCGACATTATGGTAGCGCTGAAGTGCCACCAGGACGGAAGATATCGGCTGGCGACGCACTCCTCCTCAAGTGCGTCACGAAATACTTGCTCAAATTCAGCGATGCGAACTACGACGAGTGGATGAACGGTAAGGCGGCCGCAAATTCCATCGCTTGGCGCGTGCTGAAAGCGTACCTTCCCTTCGAGCCAGAGATGGTCCTGCAACTGAATCAGCGAACTTCCGCCAGTGGGGAGTGGGGACGCAGAGCCGCGGACTGCGACACCTGGTAACGCCCGACGGGTCCGAGATCACGTCGGAGCTGAAGGCGTACATGAAAAGCAAGTGGCGCCACGATGACATGAGCTTCCTGGAGTTTCTCCGGAAGACTACCCACAAGGGCGCCATCGCCGGTTGGTTGAAGAAGCTGTGGAAGGAGCGCCCAGAGGAACAGATGCACCTGACGGAGACGGAGTTCGCGAACGAGTATACCATGCGCGGTGAGCAACTCGTGGCGGTGGACACTGTCTGGCGCCACAACGATAAGTTCTTCCGCCAGTGGGTCCTAAAGCATGTGCCCTTCCGCAAAAAGGAAGACCTCGATGTGTCAGAGGTGACGGCAAGGGTGCCGCCGCGCCTGCGTGGACAGGCCTGAGCGCTGAAGCTCTGCGCGGACCAAAGCCGCGTGCCGCCCCACCTGCACAACTTCTGGAACTCCTCAGACCGTATACGCAAGGAGATGAAGGATGAGGCCCACACGGAGGACCACATCGAGGAAACTGTGGCGCTGCTGGCTGGACACCGCACCCTGATCGAACAGTTCTGGACGGGCGAACTTGACATGGCGGACGATCCGGGCGCGATATCCGACCCCGTGGCCGCGGCCACCGAGGAGGCGGAGCGCGCGCGCAGAGAGGACCTTCAAACTCAACGCCCTGCAGGGCGTATTCGAAAGAGAGATCGCAAAGCACGTGACGCTCGCCCTCCGCGCGACTCGGGCCCAGGACGAAACAGAACTGGAGGCAGCTCTGCCAAGCAGCGCCTCTGCGTCCGCCGTGTGTGGAGCACGCGGTGCGCGCGGAGCATGGTGGCTCAGGAGTCCATCTAAAACTCTGCCCGGCAAACGAAGAGGCATGCGCAGCACGCGCGTGCTCTAACGGTTTTCCATTGGCGAGAGCGCGGTTCCCGGAGCGCCTCTGCCTCGATTCGAAAACAACCGACGGCTACATGCACCTGTGCTAGTGACACAGTCCGATGCGTCGGCGATGCATGGCAGTACTCTGGGAGACACACATTGTCATCAGCGAAGCCGACCCCGGCGCTTCGGCGGTGCATCGGCGCTCTGACGACTGCTCGTACGTCTGCCATGCACGACAGACACAAGCATATGCGTGGCCAGCACTGCGGGCCAGCCATTCACTCTTGTGAAGATACGCAGGACGTCCCCGCTGTGTACATGCCCCACGATCTCTTGCATGAAAGCATGCTGCCCGGTGCTGCGTGGTGTCTCTTCCCTTGTGCAATGCAGTATGCCGCGCGACTGCACATCAAGCCGTGCACCGGCTTAGGGTTTCGGGGGTTTCGGGTTTAGGGTTTCGGGCTTCGACTTTCGGGGTTCGAGATTGGAGTTTTGGGCTTCGGGTTTTGGGTTTACCGCTTAGCGCCTAGGGCTTCGGGCTTGACTTCGGGTTTGGTGCTTGCGGATTAAAGTTTCGGGCTTCGGGTTTCTGGCTTAGAGTTTCGAGCTTCGGATTTCGAGCTTCGGGCTTCGGCATCGGGCATAGGCTTTAGGGTTTCGGGCTTCGGTTTTCGGGTTTCGGGGTTGCGTTTCGGATGTTCGGGTTTGAAACTAAGGTCTCTCTAGGGCTCGGCGGCAACCAGGAAAAGGTTCAGCGGAACCCTGTGGAAGACAGAGGCGCTTTTACTCTTGTCACGTGCCGGCGCGCGCTGATCTCACAACGACGCATCAGCGCCCCCTCGGCTTTCTGATTCCACGGGACATGTCACTCTGCAGAAGCCACAGGGTATCATTTCCTAGTGCGAGCACGTATTTCGAACGGGACCGCACTCATATCGTCCGTAGCCATCGGCTCAAACCACTCAGGGTATCTGTGGCGGCCTGCCTCGATTAACAGTGCCTAGCATGACCCTGGGTGCTCCATGGCCCTCGCGCTTCGATCTGGCTGAGCAATGCCAACAGACCACTTCCCTCATGGTCGCACTCTGCACACTGCCGCTGAAGAAAAGAATTTGTCATCATCGACATCATTTTGAAGCCTCTGCGCGCGGGAACCTCCCGCCACGGATGGGTCGCTCGCTGCATGGCACAGAGTGAACTATGGAACCCCTTTCCAGGACATCTCGACAGAGATCTATCTAAGAGAAATCAAGAGACATCATGAGAGCCCTGGCGGCCCCGGGAACCCGAAAACGTTTCCTTAGATTCCGGCGGGCTTCGGGTTTCGAGATTGGAGGTTCCAGCTTCGGGTTTACGGTTTCCGGTTTCGGGTTTCGGGTTTAGGATCTCGAGTCTAGGGCTTCGGGTGTTTGGTTTCGGGTTTCCGACTTCGGGTTTCGGGTACCTGCTGTCCTCCACGCACACCTTCGCACTCTTACTTCTTCTGCGCTGAGGTATGTGTCTGATGTTTCGGCGATCTCCTGTGCACGAGTCTTGCATCTCATTAGCATTTCGCAATACTCGGGGCTTCACTGCCGCGTCGACAAGCCGATACGTTGGCAATGCGCATGCCTTCCCTCTGGGACCTCGCGCCGACGCGTCGGAGATGCATGCTTCCCCCTGGCACGCATGCTTCTGCGCCCCGCTGCAAGCCGCTCTCGCCTCCCGGAGAATACTGCGGAGCGCTCCCACTCAACGGTGTCCGTCTCTGGGGACGCCGTCCTCCTCGAGCACCCTTGTCTTCTTGCTCCCCCCGCACTGTGCTCCTCGTTTGCCGCTTCGGCACTGTCCACTCCAAGAGGCTTGCCTTCTCGCCCTTCTGAGGCATGGGAGCATGACGGGCACGTCTCGGCGAGGCACAGCTGCGCCCTGGTCGGCGAGCTTCCAACCACAACGCGGAGGCTCGCGATCCAGGGGGGCTTCCGCGCAGCATTGGCCGCCCCGCCGCACGGAGTCCGCGAGGTAGAACCCCCCCGGATTCAATGCCAACGGAGTGGCCATTGCCGCGCGGATACCCAGGGGGCCACGTCCAGCCTCCACGCGGCGGCTCCTGGGGAAGGTTACTCGTGCGACTCTTCACCGCAAGGGTCCAGGCCGCGCGCGTAGCTTTCGCGAAGGACGATTCCTCTGAACCAAACCCTCAAGGTACGTCACGTTCTTTCTCTGACGCCTGAACACTTCCCCCCTAGATAGGGGGAGCGAGGGGGGATGATCCCTAAACCCTAAAAAATGACTCTGGGTGGATGGGGTGGGACAGCACGCGCCCATCCATCCCCCCCTACCTCCTGAGGAGGGGGGGATGAGATGGTTCCGCACTGGGAAACCCTAAACCCTAAACCTTAAACCCTAAACCCTAAACCCTAAATTCCCAAGCACCTCGTTGTGCATCTGCCCACCCCATCGCGCGCATCACCGTCGCCGTCTACGAGAGACAGGGCTTCTCTGAGATGCTTCAGCTGGTTGCCCGACTGGGTCGTCCTGGTAGCCTAGGGCTACCTAACCCCACGCTTGGGGATCTACGATGCAAAGATAAACCATGCTTGATCTTCGAAGAGTACAACACCCTAAACCCGGGGACCTTTCGTCCTCGGATGTCCCCCTACATGTCTCCGACACGTAAAAACACGTGTGGGGCGCTCTAAGCGCTTCTGGGCGCACTTGGGAGCGCCTGGAAGCGCTTGGGAGCGCTTGGGAGCGCCTGGGGGCGCCTGAGGGCGCCTGGGAGCGCCTGGGAAGCGCCTGGGAGCGCCTGGGAGGGAGCGCCGGGGAGCGCCGGGGAGCGCCTGGGAGGAGCGCCTGGGAGCGCCGGAGAGCGCTTGGGAGCGCCGGGGAGCGCTTGGGAGCGCCGGGGAGCGCCGTGGAGCGCCAGCGCCAGGGAGCGCCTGGGAGCGCCTGGGAGCGCCTGGGAGCGCTTGGGAAGCGCCTGGGAAGCGCCTGGGAGCGCCTGGGAGGGAGCGCCGGGGAGCGCCTGGGAGGAGCGCCTGGGAGCGCCGGGGAGCGCTTGGGAGCGCCGGGGAGCGCCGTGGAGCGCCAGCGCCAGGGAGCGCCTGGGAGCGCCTGGGAGCGCCTGGGAGCGCCTGGGAGCGCCGGGGAGCGCCGGGGAGCGCCGGGGAGCGCCTGGGAGCGCTCGGGGAGCACCTGGGAGCGCCTGGTACGCCTGGGCTCGCCAGGGAGCTCCTGGGAGCGCTTGGGAGCGCTTCAGAACGCGCCGGGAGCGCGTGGGAGCGCCGGGGAGCGCCTGGGAGCGCTTGAGAGCGCTTGCGAGCGCCAGGGAGCGCCTGGGAGCGCCAGGGAGCGCCTGGGAGCGCTTGGAATGCATTTGGGAATTTAGGGGCCAACGGCCCTAAACCCTAAAAGGCTTTAGTTTGAGAGGTTGCCGGCCATGCGGCCGGGGGTGGGAAGATGTTGCACCTCCTGCCCCCTTCGCCAAGCTTGCTCGGGTCGGCTAACCGCCCCCCCAATCAAGCTTGCCGAAGGGGGGGCAGCAATGCCTGGACTGTCGGCCGCTGCGCTAAGAGAAGCCCTAAACCCTAAACCCTAAACTCGCCCAGGGCCGCTTGGCCCGTATCCACCCACCCATTTAGGCGGCAAGCGCCCTAACTGGCACCTCGCAGTCAGACTACCTCACGTCCGTACGTGAATTCACAGACCAGCTCAGCAGCGTCTCGGTTGCCGTCAGGCAGGGCCCGCGAGGGCCTTATCTCATTATCAATGATGCGGCTTACGCGCAAGCGATTCTCCTGTGCCCGCCTGGGCGATCGTCAAAGAGACTTATAACCCCAAAACTACAAGCCTATTCACCGTGGCGGGGGCCCTGGCTCCTCCTGCTGCGCCCACATAAAATCGCTAAAAGACACGGATTGCCACTGGCAATTTTTTTTTCTACCTCGAATCTTAAAGTTTTCCAGAGTGGACCCCACCGATCGGCTGGCTTCCAAGAGACGTTTCCTGGCGACTCGGGCCCCCGCGGGGAGCTTCGGCTGGGCCCCTCAGGCCCCCGCCACGGTGAATTCGCTCCCGCCCAAGGGCCCTGAAGCCCACTGAGGGCCCAAACACGTTTCCTTGCGACTCGGGCCCTCGCGGGAAGCTTCTGCTGGGCCCACCCAGACCCCCGCCACGGTGAATTAGCTCCCGCCCAGGGGCCTCGTGGCCCCCTGAGAGCCCAAAGACGTTTCCTGGCGACTCGGGCCCCCGCGGGAAGCCTCTGCCGGGCCCCCCAGACCCCCGCCACGGTGAATTAGCTCCCGCCCAAGGGCTCTGGGCCCCCCTGAGGGCCCAAAGACGTCTTCTGGCGACTCGGGCCCTCGCGGGAAGCCTCTGCCGGGCTCTCCAAACCCCCGCCACGGTGAATTAGGTCCCGCCCAAGGGCCCTGCGCCCCCTTGGTGGCCCAAAGACGTTTCCTGGCGACTCGAGGCCCCGCGGGAAGCGTTTGGTGGGCTCCCCGAACCCCCGCCACGGTGAATCAGCTCCCGCCCAAGGGCCCTGCGCCCCCCTGGTGGCCCAAAGACGTCTCCTGGCGACTCGGGCCTCCCTGGGAGGCTCCCAGGGCACCCCAAACCAGCGTCACGGTGAATTAGCTCACGCCCAGGGGCCCTGGGGAGCACCCTAGGAGCCCCCCAGGAGCCCCCCAGACCAGCCCCAGGAGCCCCCCAGGAGCTCCCTAGGAGCCCCCCAGGAGCCCACCCAGACCAGCGTCACGGTGAATTGGGCTGCGCCCAAGAGCTTCCTCCGGAACCCGCCAGGAGCGCCCTGGGAGCTCCCCAGGAGCACCCCAGGAGCCCCCTAGGGGCCCCCAGGAGCACCCCCAGACCAGCGTCACGGTGGATTGGGCACCTGCGGGGTGGTCCCTGGGCACCCCCCAAACCAGCGCCACGGTGAATTAGCTCCCCCCCAAGAGCCCTGAGGTCACCTGAGGGCCCGCAGACGTCTC